CACACACACACACACCAGCTCAGTGAGAGAGGAATCTGCTGTGTCAGTATCGTCTAAGTGTTCACACTCACAATGACTTTCTGTGTCTTTCTGTCCAGCTCCCGGTGAAAAGGATGGCAAAATACTGGAGTAAATGAGCCAGAGAGCAAGCCTGCCCTTCCTTCAGGAGTTTTCATGGGCCACACACTTTTTCCCTCAGTTTAGTGTTTATGTGTGTTACTTTTATACTAGAGCTGGTAAGCTGTAATAAATGATTATAACTGGGAGTATGTATGACTTTGAATATATGTGAGAGTTCTCCACAGTGTAAAGGTCCATGTCTGGATCGGAGGAGAAAGTGGAGACTTCAGGATCAGATGATCAGATGAGCCTGCAGCAAAGGCTGATTTGAAGGGCGACATCACAGGGGGGCATTGGGAGGAATCAGTTTAGGGAACGGGTCGTTCGGTGGTAGCTCCGTCGTTTGCTCCAGGAAGTTGACGGGCGAGTGCAGAGCGGGGGAGCAGCGTGAGTGTCTTTCAGGATGGCTCGTCGGTGAACCCGAAGGAATGGCCGTGCGCTTGTTTGACACGAGGTCAGGTCACTGGCAGTGATAAATGGGCTGGACGTACTCTGGAGGGAAGTAGCCCACGCGTCCATGGCAACGGCCCCTCCAGCGCACCGAATCAGAGCAGTCAATGAGTTCAATGACATCACCACGCAGGAAGCGTAGCTGGGACGGGTGGTGCGGGGTGAAATCGAAGACAGCTTGGGCATGATGGGAACGCTGTGGGTCAGGAGGGAGAGAGGGAACAGGAGGGAGGGGAGGAGGAAAAGAAAAGAGAGTTAATCACACATTTTCATCACAACAGTAAGTTAATACCCAGTTAATAGCGTCAAAGAAAATACTAAAAGTAACCCACCCCTGTGATGGAGACAGCTATCAAGCTATATAAGATTTACATATTAGTCCGGGGAAGTGAACCTTAAAGCCAGAATTGGCCCAACAAAGACTCCAGTATAAAGTATAAATGCAAATATTATACAAAATTTTAAAATGAAAGAATTTCTGTATTCTGAATTTTTTAAAGATTTTTTTGTATATTTTTCTTCAACCACACATTTGCCATTTACAGAAGCCACTGTTAAAAAACAGGTAGAAAATTACTGTTTTTTTTGTTGTTTTGTTTTTTGTTTTTTTACATGTGTGGACAAGTGTGTGAGCTACCAGAACTCTTTCTGTCAGTTTACACTTTAAAGTCCAAAGAGTCATAATGACAGTCTTCTTTCACTAAAATAACAAACTATTATGACTGAACTTCTTTTTCTTAAATTAAAATATCTCTGGGATTAAATGTGCAGTTAAACTTCTGTATAGTCACAGAAAGGGGAGTTTCACTGGCCTGCTTAAGTAGGCTGCATGTGGCCCACAATGTAAAATGAGTTTGACATCCCTGTATTAGAAAATGAGAGATGAGGCCTTTTTATCGCACAATATAAAGACACCACATGTCAAATGTCAATGAAGCTCTTTTTTACCATTTCAATCCAGACACAAAGCACATGAATGCTACTTTTCTTTTTTTAAAAAGCTGGAAAGGAGGCAGTAAGCTTCTGTAATCCAACATCTCCCACATAAAATGAGTCATAACGCACTGGTGCAATGTGTGTAGTATTCAGTGGGGTTACGCTGTAGCAACATGGTGTTATTTGCGTGTGACGGTCAAATATGTTACTCGTCAAATCAGGGGGTTGTAGAGTTATTAACATGTTTATCTCGCTACATTTAGATGGCTGCAGAAACCAAATCAACTTAATATCCTGCAAAAGACAGATTTTTCATGCTGATTTAATATCACAGCCAGTTTTGGGTTACTTTTGTTTTTTTATCAGTGACTCCCAAAAATATGTCTTACTTTATGTTCAAGTAATATTTATACATACCAGTGCATTTTCTGCTTATCATCAGGATATAAGATTATCGAAATTAATTTTGCACTTTTTTCCAGTCACTGATTACTCATTAAAAAAAATAGAGCACACAGTTTGCAAGGGCTAGCTTGGAAATTTCTCCACTACACAAACTTAAAATGAATGTTGGTCAATAAGGCTCGCTGGTCTTATCTCCTAAAGGCTTTGAGAGGTATTATTTAATTCACCAGCCACAATCTAGACGGTGAATTTTTAAAGTGAGCGCACTTTCTTTGAAGCAGGAGGCCAAACAAAACAAGAAAAAGAATACGAGCTCCAAAGAGATTAAATAAGTCTTGGTCAATATGAAAAGCAGTCTATGTATTCACACATTCATACAGAGCACGCACTTGGTGACAGCAGGAAGGAAAAACTCCCTTTTTACAGGAGAAACCTCCACCAGAAGAAGGCTAAGGGAGGGACAGCCATCTGCTACGACCGGCTGGTGTTGAGGGGTGAGAGATTAATAATAGCTAATGATTACATGTACAGTAGTGTGTAAGCACCTAGAGAGTGAAAAGAGTTGAATGAAGAAGAAACACTGTCCATCATGGAAAGTAGCCATCAACCTAGGCCTATTGCAGTGTATCTAAGTGAGGATTCAGGGGTAGCTGAGCCAGCCCTGATTATGAGAGCTTTGTATCCTGAATCCAATCTGGGAGCTGAATTCTCTGCTTCCCATTCTACTTTTAAGTATCCTAGAAACTGTTAGTAAGCCTGCAGTACTATCAGGACCAGGGAAACAACTAGATCTGTCCAAGAGTAGCATATGCTAATGGACAGATACTTATATAGCACCTTCCACTACAGCTACAACTACACTACAACAACTCACCCAATCACACACACTACTTCTGGTACTTCAGCTTCCTCCCACAGTCCAAAGATATGCATGGGGTTAGGATAAATGGCTAAATTGGACATATGCGTGAATGTGATGTGACTTGTTGACTTGTTGTTGTTTGTCTCTCAGTGTTGTTCCTGTGTTAGACTGGAGTACAGTCCAAGGTGTACTCCCTCTCTTGTCCTATGATAGCTGGGATAGGACGGTGAACTGAAGGTGAAACTGATGAAAATGAATGGGTGGCTGGTTTTGTTTCGAGGGCTTCAAGGACTTGTGATACTGAGAAAGTGATGGAAGCTGTAAAGAAAACCATGCGTGTAGGGCATATTTTCAAGGGGAGAGCGAGTACAGACACACAGCGATGTTAGAAAGGACCTAACAGACAGAAAAACAAAGAACATACTGCTTACTCCCACTCCAGACACACCACTAATCTGGCCCTGTTGGGTTTAAAGTTACCATTCTGACACATTCCACTTTCTTTACCCTTCGATTCTCAGACTGTCCTTACCTGACAGCAGCTTAAAGTAAATATCAATGAGGCAAGATATTTTAGATTGCTGTGACACTTTTATGGTGATGAACATCATGTGCTTTGCATAAAATTCTCATTATGCGCACCTTCGTGAAGCATGAAAATCACCTCGCGCCACTCTTCTCCTCAAAAGCCTTGTTTAGCGTTGGGTTTTATCCAATATTTAAATCGAGTAAATGGTAGATTTTAGTTTCTCTTGGTCATAAAAGAGAAACACAGAGGGATGGGTATGCAACGGAGAGGTGCTATAAGTCCAGAATGATGAGTGTAATAAACACACATGCCCACTAAAAATAACAACCACAAACAACGCTTGTAATGCTTGTCGCTGTGATGTTTGATGGCAATCCAGGGCAAGTGGGGCCGCTTTAAATTCAGCCCTCAGATTCTGCTCTCTCTTCCTGACTATGTTTTTCTTTGAGTTCACAAAAGTACTGTTTTTCTTCTCCCTCGATCGCCGGCCTCCTCTGATCGCTGCTGACTCGTGAAGTAAAAGCAGTTTAAGAGTGGCAGAACAAAAGTGGCTATTTTAAGGAGAGAGGCTCGAACTTAACTAACCCGGCTGTCACTGGCGCTCCCACAGAAGAAGGTGGATGTGATGTGAACTGCGAGGGAGCGGGGAGGCTGCAATGAATACCAATATTGTTTTTTATATGTAGGTGCGTAGATATCTATGTTGCAATTCTGGGATTTATTATTGTGGACTGCTTTATCTTAGAGTAAGGCCCAATAAAATGGCATCCAAGTAGTGGTAGGCACACAAAACATGTACACAGTTACAAACAAGTACATGCACTAACTAGACAGCGGGATTAGGATCAAGAAACCCAGACAGAATCCATCAGGCCTGCAAATCTATAAAATCCTCACAGTCTTATGATTTATTGTTTCACTGATCTAGTTGAGACTTCTAGTTTGTGTGGGTTGCACAAGAAGAACCCTTTCATTCTTGTTCTCTCTTGTAAAGACAAATACAATCCATGTATCCTTGTGATTAGGGTTGACTCTACCGCCTAAGAGAGCACTGACAGTACAGCTTTTTGCTAGTTCCCTTGTACACAGAATGCAACGAAAATTCCTCCAATACTGCTTGTTTGCCCCTTTGCACAAGGTCCAAGTTTTCCAGGGTAAAAGGGAAGGCTTTGCAACACAAGGACATGAGGATATTAAGGGATGTGTTAGGAGAATTATTTCCTATTCTGCCATACTGAGATAAGAAGCTATCAAGAGCCATGTAATGAGCTGATGTGGAATTAGTTTGGGAAGACAAACCAAACAATAGGAGGGTCAACACACACACACACACACACACATACATACAAAAAAAACACCATGGTGCAACATGATTCAAGGACTCACAAGTGCTCAACACACTCGGTTCACGTCTGTGAAACTGACCTATTTAGTCGAACACAAAAAGTAAGAGAAACACTGAACACAATCTTTTCACAACCTCGTCTTTCTTTATAATCTAAATGGTTAAATCAGGGGATTGAGCAGTTTTTTTCTTTGTATTCTTATTTCTTTTATGAAAGAAAAAGAAGTGATGCTGTGAAGAAGTGGATACTGAATACTGTTAATATTTCAGAGCTTTGAGCGTGCACATCAAGCTCACAAAGAAGAAAGAGCTGCTGAGCAAATACACAAGAAAGTGCCAGACTGTTTATTTGCCAGTTTGCCATAGTGTTGTCTGGTTAAGTGGTCTTTAGGGCAAATTTCTTTCATTTAGTATTTCTTTGGGGGGTTTTTCTTCTCCAAAAATGGCACAGAGGATTTTGTAGCTCACACAATTCTGTCCACAGTGGCACCTCGGAGATGCTTAAGAGTCCTTCTCATGATCAAAACCCAAATAGAAACCCTAAATATGGTTTTGCCATAATCAGGTTAAGTCATTCACCAAACAATCTTTTCTCCAAGAGAAGTAAATCGCGAGTTGTATGACCGTGTGCAAACGCTGCCAGTGGAAGACGCTGGGTGTTGGAGCTTTGTTGATGCCCAAGGCCAAGACAAAACCCCGCAGACGCGAAGACCAACTGACTGTGATTTTATATAGCTTGACGGTGAAAAAGCCAGATGGGTCCAAAGCTAATATCAATGTTTCATGTGTGCTTTTAATCTGCACATCTACCTACTGGGAAACCAAGCCCACTGATGTGAATTGAAGATAACTGGATACGCATGGAGCCAGTGCAGAAATGATCGGCTGGTGTTTACATGATTGCATCTCTCATTTTTTTCCCCACCTTTGATCCTCTCCCAGATTAAATTGTAAAGCAGTAGAAGGCTGTAGAAATACATTATGTTTATGGAGATTCAATGCTAAGGAAAGCTCTCAACAGACAGGCACAGAAAATACACCTTAAAGCTCAAATTAAAACAGTAAACACATATGGAGACATAAAGAACTGACTAAGCTGCTGTGATCTCATGTGGAAAG